ATTGAATTCTTTATTGTGAAACGTTATATAAGTAAGGTGTAGCGGGTTCAAGCATTTGTGTAGAAACAAATAGGTAGCATACTTTTCTTGGCCTAATGCCCTTACCATGATATCTGTTAGGTCCTGCGACAGTTGCAATGCAAAAACAGCAACTAGCCTATCGACAAGAATTCTCAGGAATCCCAAAACACTGGTTATTGGAATAAAACGATTCAATGCAATCCAACAGCACAACACTGCCAAGCTTGTAAAGACAACTGATCCTCTTTGCATTCAGAGGTAATGTTATATAATATGCAGATATTATGGTCTGTTTTGCTCTTTTTGGTAAACTAAAACTAAAAAATCATGCATGTTGTTTGCATGATTGTAACATTGATCTTTCCTGCACGACAGGYCTATTGATCTTAGTCAATTAATGTCTTGTGCTGGGGCTACAGGAAAACTGAMATATCACTTGTGTGGTGCAATTGTAAGTAACACATTCTTATCCCTTACAATATATATTACTATTTACTTCTTTATTTTTTATTTGAAAAATATAACTATTTGGTATATTAGCAATACTAAATGTGACAKTAGCCTTTGTATATGTCAACCAGAAGAGATTCAATTTTAGACAAATTATAACACTTATGAAAAGCCATTTTGATCATAAACTATTCATATTGGTAATGTTTTCTGAAAAACCTTTTTCATAATGGGCAATAAACTAGCTGTATCCCACCCCTCCCAGCTACATGTGTATGCATATAWAAGCACAAGCACATAGCTCTAAAATGATTGTAGGTAGAAGTTGTGAATTTTTTATGAAGATTGAACCTTTATTTCCTAAAGTTAGAAATTACCAATGACATTGTTTGTTTTTCWATCTAGCTGCACAGTGGTCATTCCATTTCAAAAGGGCATTGTGAGTTTTTATTGCATTGTAAAAATACATTTATAACTTATATAATTCGCAATAAAATTCAATTTACATACATGTGTATAGTATACAGTCACAAAATGTCTAAGAATATTTATCGAAAAAGAAACTTTTGAACAAAGTTCCCATCAAAATGTAAACGTAGGTACACATTCCTGCATTTCATGCCAACAGTGTGCCAACAACTATAGTTCTATGTAATTCAAGTAAGCATTCTGATTCAGTAAAGCATTCTGATGAAATTGCTAAACAAGTTTCTTTTACATGTATGGTTTGTCGTGAACTATTTTCCTAGTCATTTGAGTACAGTAATAGAAATAAATTTATCAAATGTTACTTTGTATCATATAAATTATTTATCATTTAAATGCTTTACAGACATTGCAGTTAGCCCTTCAAGCCCGTCAAGCAATGATGGAATCATTTTTGATGATAGTCAAGTGCGTCTGCAAGCAAACTTCATGCTATCATCTACTTTCCAGGTACTTGAAACATTGAAAYGTAATAATAATATTTCTTTCCACTCACGTAAATAACAATTAAAGTTAAAGAAAAAGTTACAATAAAAAAAGAATTAAGATGATTTAATGGAGGAATGTGTGAGCACAGCCTGAAGGTTAAACAATGCCTTAMWATRCATTATTACATGATTTGTATTAAACTATTATGCTATTAGATTTTAGMATCAAACAGGCATATTAGTCATATTCGGAAATTAGGTCTCCATGGTAGAATTTGAGATGTGTATACATATTATACTCAGTCCAATTCTGTCATGTACTTACCACTTTGATAAGACCTGCTTTTATTGACCATATATTGACATCTCGAATTGCAGGAAAACTGTTATGTGTTATTCTACGAGAGGCAGACACCCAGTGATGAGGTACCTTTAATTCATAC